TTTCAGTTACATAACTGAAATGATCAGCGCTGAAATACACGTAATCGTAATGCCGGGCTTGGGCTTGGTAATTGCAAAAGAGGTGCTAATGCGTAAGGCTGATTATTTTTAATTCCGTCAAAGTGGGAACACCGAGGACATTGAGGAAACCTGCCATTCATAGAATAAGGCAGTGAACCAGCACTCGCCAGCAAATAAGCAATCAGGAAGGGCCCACACATGATTATGAATAGAAAGATGATTGGGTCTGTAGATGCAGAAACATCAAAGCAAAGCAAGCAACCACCTTTCATTATCATTTCTCATTTTATAAGAAATGTGGTAATAATTAAGGTGGCATAGACTGTGACCTCTGTAACAATACTATGGTGACATTTATAACTCTGATTAATAACTGTCGATGCTGAAAAGACAGAACACCAAATGTATCTTTTGAAAAAAGAATCCCATACAAATAAGAAATGGTAATAAAGTTCAGTATTGTCTTTATGTTTTTTGGCAGATTGTGTTAATTCAATAGAGAAAGGGGGTTCTGTCCCTCCTCTGAGTCATTCAGGTCTATTTTTACTACAACAGCTATAAGGAGGAAAGGAATTCACATAGAGCTCCACATCCTGGCAAATATGAAATATTTAGATGTAGTCACTTGCTTAAAGAGAAATAACCAATAACTGTTCATTCAACAGATAATGTAATAATAATAATAATAATAATGGCTGCACAGGAGGACAACAGTGTGATGATAGAAGGGACTTGGTTTTGGCAGCCACATATTTTGTAATAACACATTATGGCCACTAGATGGAGATAAGGAGCATAGAAATACTTCTCCTCCTTAGCTCCATCCAGTGGCCATAATGCGGTATTACAAGTAGACATCTGAAAATACATTTGACTTCTAAAGAAATTATGACGAGAACGTTTGTTTGTGCAGCCATTTCAAGCCACCCATGAAGAAGCCAAAAGGCACCCAGGTTGAGAAAGGCCGGTCTACACTCCTGACCACATGGAATGTGCATATTTATTGTGGTTTATTCAGAATTAGGGGGACAATTAAGGGGATTTGGTGATGATATCATATGCCTAATGCATTACATGGCAGCAACACTACTGAATTATAGTGTACACACTTTGGCACTTCTACCTTTCTTTAATAAAGTGCATGGCAACCAATCAGAAACCATCTCCCACTGGGCACAATTTATTGATGTTATTAAACATCAGAAAGAAGAGGTGTCTGTCCCCTGTCTCCCTCCCCCCCACAACCCCACACTTCTGCAAATCAACTCAAAACTGACCCTGGGAAACAAGAGTCGAAATCTGAAATACAAAAAAAAAGGGACAACACAGACCATCCCTACTTCAAACGCCCTGATACATTGCGTCCACCGTCTTGGCCAAACTAACAAAAGCTGAAGACGCAGATACATGCAATCCCAATCAGTATCCCAGCTGACAGCCAGGCCATCCGTTCATTTATGTTTAATGGCGACTTTGATTACGAGTAAAGCACAAGCAGCCAGACAGAACGGAAGTATTATACCGTGTCTGCACAACTTCAGACAAAAACATCAATAGCCATTAGAACGCAATGGTCTGTAAGACGCGCATGATTCAGGCCACGTAGGGAGAGACACAAACTGCAGTCTGATGGGCCAAATCAATCTGACAAAAGGTGATG